TTTTTTAAGTTTTTAAATTGATGTTGGGGTGAATACTGCCATTCTAGGGTTCAAGATCTCTACCTGCAGTATTATCTGCAAGTTGATTCAATAAAAATTATCTCGATTCATGTTTATGTTTAGAAAAAGGGCAGGAAAAGTTTGCATATTGACAAGTTTTCCAATGCAAGACGACATCGTATTCATGGCACCCAAGCACCTTGATTCAACTAGCACATCACCCAAGAAAGACCTTGTTTCGACGGGCAGGTGATAGAATGCTAGGACGATCGGATATTTATTGGAATATTTATTGTGTTAACAAGTAAAGAGTACAATCTCGTATCATCACAAAGATTAGTTTAATTGTAAGTGATTGTGCAACCTTGCTTGTTCAGTCTTTGGGATTGACGATGGTGAGTCCGACAGTTGGCAGGTCGTTGCGCTCTGCTTCGAGCAGTGCCACTCGCCGCACTGCCCGAGTGCGGGACCGCCAAGCAGCGGAGTCGTCAAAGTGTCAAGAACTGCCCCCGACTTACTGGCCCGGTGGGCGGTGCGCTTGTTCTTTGGTGTGGGAACCTACGAAACTCCGATATTTTTAGGGCCTCGCTGGAAGTATCGATTGGATAATGAAGGTGTTCATGTGTTTACTCGTAGTCATGACGAAGAGTCATGACAGACCTGAACGGAGTTTGATCTGTAGAATTCAAGTGTGGTGGCTCCTAATACTCAACGATCAGTTCGTAATGGTAACTGTACAGGACCGAAACCGAACATATTGAGAACATATTCATTTGGCACTTCGATATATGTGAAAGCCGTCATCATCTACACCCGTGAATTGAGTAAAGCAAATACCTAGCGTTACTAATGGCTAAATCTAAACATTATCAGCATGAATACGTACACTGTCATAGAGGTTATATCAGTAACTGAGATTAGGAAGAAGACCCGTTATGAGCCAGATTTCTCGTTCATCGGATATGAAGGTGCAGACGAGGCTTCACATTTGTCGCATCGATTTGTGGAGCGAAGTGTGAAGAACAGTAGAGGAAGAAAGAAAAACGTAGCGAAAACCCAACTGCACAGGGTTAGCACTATGAGGAATACACCGACCTGCAATAAATAGTCTCAGGCTTCAGAAAGCTTCAAAATAAAGGGTGTTGAAAAAGAGTACTTGGGAGAAAGCATGCGTCTGAGAAAAGAGCATGCACGCTCCAGCGAGGAATGAAGTTGAGGCAGATAAGGAAACGGGCACTGCAGCAAGTTGAGCTGCTCGTTGGATTCGGTGTAATTTGCAGCCGGTCTTGGGCAACGCCGCTCCAAAGTGCAGCGTGTAGTCAAATGAGAGACCAACGACGAGCACCAGAATGACAGCTTCAAGTACTCCGATCTCCCAACCGAGCAGCGTAACACATCCCACTGAGCAGGCGATGATGCTTATACAGGTGACAACTGCAGCCATAGCCTGGGACGAAAGAAGCTTGAGATAACCAGAGAAAATTCAGGTATTTCCTTCTTGAAAATACACCTGCATCCTCAGCTGAACTAATGAGAAGACAGCCACAACTGCTGTGGACACTATAACGGAAGAACGGACGTCGGA